TGTAAATCCCGAATGGTGAAAATTTTCAAGTTTTGCTGGAAAAATTCTCAAAAATAACACTAGGAGTGTAGCTTGGAATTGGATACAAATTCAATTATCCTAATGGAATCTCATCAACACATCGACTGACTAGACTTGCTTACACTCACTCACTCACTCTTTGGACTGAACCCGAAACCAAACAACAACAACAACAGCAACAGCAGTTTCACACCTTTTCTTTCATCTGATGTTCATCGCATGCTGACTGAATGAATGACAGTTGGGCGTTATTGATTTCGACATCAGGTGACTCCCATTCTCTACTAATGAAAAGTTTTTTTTTATTTTTTTTTTTTTTTTCATTTCCACTGCAGGTAAGCAAGGAGGTGTGGTTGATAACAAGCACAATTGCAAGGGAATGTGACTTTGTTGGATCGAGATTCAAACTGATGCTTCTGGTGGATGGTTTGATTGATTTGCTGATGCAGAACATTAATGGTCGATGATGATGGAAACTGGATTGCCAACTCAACGAGGCAATGTACGATTATGGTTCAGTATGATTACTGGTAAACATCTGGCATTATTACCCAGACAACGATTGGGAAATGCGGAAATATGGCATGCTCGACAAACGAATCAAAAGTGGATTAAATCCTAGTAATTTGATTCAACTTTGGTGGCCTACACAAAGAGACACAGAGACACAGACACAGGACACAGAAGCCAAAGTGTTTATTAAATCTCTTTCGATCTACTCAGTGACGACGCACCAGACATGACGTTTCTCACGGATTATTATTATTGCAATGATTCACTGTGCACAACTTTTACAAGCATCTTACCATTTTACCATCGCTAGATTATGAGCAACGGTATCGAAGATTGTGTAATCGATTCACAATTCCATTTTCTGAGTAATGAGTCTGCGAGCAAATTCATTCATTCATTCATTGATCGAATGCATCCACCAGGCATCAATCAATCAATCAATCAATCAGTCAGTCAGTCAGTCAATTTCTTGATGCCTATTACTTGATGTGGTTTTTTCTTGGAAGCCATTTTCTTCACTTTGTTGATGAAGAATACACACGTAATGGTGGAAAGAAATTTTAAAAAATAATTTCGATGCACACACATTCAATGGAAAAGGTCATGGGGTCGAACCGGAATATTTTCTCGAATAAAGACAACCACCTCTCTCTTTATGTCTTGCTTTTTGCGTGTATTCATCCATCCATCCATTATTATCATGCCAGTCAAGCCCGAAAAAAGCCAGAACATCCCGATTTGACACATAGGCTTTTAAAACATTTATTTATTATTTGTTTCAACTTTTAAATGAAAAATTTTTTCCTCTGCTTTGCTTGCAGGCTATCATCATCATCATCATCATCGTCGTCATGATGATTATTATTACCCATGGTCTGGATCTCGAGAATCGAATCGCTGGCTAAATGGATTGAAGAAAGAAAAAAGAAATTTTTTCGAGAACAAAAAGGCGGAGGATGTTTTCGCTTTCAATTTCGCTAAGCTACTGTTGCCGTCGTTGTCGTCGAACAAGCCGAATATTGATTGACACACACGACAAAGATGAGCCGAACATTTTTCTCTATGATATGAGATATATGATGATGATGATGATGATGACAACAGCAGCAGCAATGGGGATTGATTGGCTTTAATGGACTCGGATTCGAGCTAGCTATAGCTGCTGATGGAAATTTCATGGCACGCAATTCATTTTCCATCCGTCCGTTCCATTTTCATTTTCATTTTACTTTGTTCGATTTTTGTTGTTTCTCTGCTCGTTGCCATCGGCAGATCGGTTCCGTTTTGCCGAATTTTCTCTGTTCTCGGTTAGTGGAAACATGCAAACAATAGAGAACCGGAAGGAAGTCGTAAGGTCACTAATGGAACGAGAATGGTGCAACTCAATGGTTTCAAATGATTTATCGATGATGCTGGAATATTTGTATTTGTATTCTGTTTGCATTATTCAAGTATCGAATCGGTTGTCTGTTTGAATAAAATTTGAATATCAATGATCATGATCATGATGATCAAGATCAATTTGAAATGCGACGAAAAACAGCATTTGCAAGCGCGAAAGAAGAAATTTATTTTTCTGGGTGAAAACCATCAAGATATGTCCACATGTCGATGTGGACGATGAGGATAGGCAAATGGTTACCTTGAGTGATTGATTGAAATGATTTGCAAACGTGAAAAATGGAGAAAAATTTCATAATGCTATCGATGATTGATATTGAAACGACTAATGTATTACATGTGCCTTATCAGCCATTTCGATCGACCAATTTGGACGAATCAACAGCCATATCATGTACATCAAACGATGTGCAATTGGAAAATTTTAAAATTTGAAAAGTTTTTTACTCACCATCGATGGTCGGTTGATGACATCCTATTTTTATCTAACAACATGATCGCCAAGAATGTCGTCGTCTATGACCTTTGGCCCTTGGAACAAACAACAACAACAACAACATAACTGAATCAATGTTGATTGTAATGTGTCGTTTACATACAATGCAATATGGATCCAATTTGTGCGTTTGTGTCGTTTGCCGCATCCATTTAAATGTCAACCATTATCTGGACACGAAATCGTGTCATTTTGTGTTGGGAAATGGCATCCATTTATCATTCATCCATCACCATTATGATGATGATGACCACGGTGCTCATATTGTTGAATAATAAAATCATAAGGCAATTAAAAAATTAGACCAAATTTCCGACCAGTTTCGAACTGCAGATTAGATTAGATTTTGTTCCATTTGGTTATCACCATATCGGACCATTACAATTATCATTATTAGAGGGCTACTAAAATACAACAACAATCATCCGAGTTTGAACTTGGGTCAAAGGTTGAAAAGATAAAGTGGCGACGATGATGACACCATCACAGCATCCTAGATATATTTGCGTGCGTGTGTGTGTTTAGTAAGGTAGGTAGATGGATGAATAGATATCATTCGAATGTGTAAGTAAAAATGTCAAGAAGCGAACCCCTCAAATTAGAACCGATTGCCGCCGCCATCGACATTGATCTATGAAGATTTTACGTTTCGAGAAGCGGCGGCAAATTGAGCAATTGGCAAGATAAAGAAAGAGAGAGAGAGGTCAAATGTGTGTGTGTGTGTGTGTGTTTGTGCATCTTGTCAGAAATCTAAAACCATCCATCCTAGTTAGTTATATTTGGTGCTTGAAATTGAGATGCACGATAAACTTGTGGATGACTATCGAAATGTTTCAAGTCATAAAGATCTTGCGACACTCTGACTAGACCTTAATAAAACAAACACGAAAAAAATGCGACGACTGAATGGTGAATTGGCAAGTGAAAAAGACACTGGTGGAAAGAAATTTGAGACCAATTTTGACTCGTTGTTGACGGATTGTGATAACGAAATTGATTGACCATCTGCATGGGATTCAAAAGCCACTAGGCACTAGGTCCAGTATGATGACAATTTCAGATGTTGGTGACAATTTATTCGACACAAAAAAGGGTTCTCTTGGTTTATGTGCAAATCAATGAATGAATGAATGAAAATAGAAACAAACTTGAACTTGAAAAAGAAAACGGCAATAAAACGTCAAAGTCCACACATCACAGACATGGACGATTCGCGTGTGTAGACGACGTCTTGAATGATTATCACTGATTCGGTGATTGTTTTATGGCTCCATTTTCTATTTCTAACTCTCACACGATATATCATATCATTATCATTTGATTATTACGGCAGTAAAAAAGGTTCGAAAATTTTCAAAATCCGAATTTCGCCCGTCTGGCGCCAAACATAAAGTACGTGTCTTGCTTTGATTGTCGGCTTTGATTCTTTCCACTGTATTCAACATCAACAAAATCACAAGTTGTTGTTTCTGACACTTTTGAATGACATCAATCAATCAATCAATCCAGTGAAACGAGTGAGAAAAGGTTTGATTCAGTTTTATTATTAGCTGATATATCGTCCATTTGGCCATTCACAAAGAGTGAAAGTATGCTCTACAGTGTATACACATTACTGATGAATCAAGAAACTCTGAAAAGTGGAAAAAATCACCGGCAAAGTCAATTGGACATGTAAAATGCACTGGAGAATTGCAAGTTTGATTTTCCTTTCCATCACCAGAATTGATGATGATGGTGGTGATGGCTTCATTCATTCACAACAACAAATGGGATATGAACGAGGCCAATCCCAAGGGCAATGCATAGATCTGAGATGATGCAAAAAATTAAATTTCATTTTTTGCCAAATGAACGAATAAAATAAAAAATATGGCCCCAATGGAGTGAGTGTGCGATGGACAGACAGACAGACAGACAAAATTCGAATGTTGTGTTTGATGATCGATGTCTTTGTCTCCTGGGAATTGATTTGGATATTTCCAGATGAAAGATGACATTCATCCGAATATCGATTCGTTTGTCAATAAGAAAATTGCTATCTACGAATGAATCAATCAATAGATGCATCTTGGTTTGTTTAGCCACGTGTGTGTGTGTGTGTGTTTGTAACATATTACGTATGAATGACCAGACTTGCCAGCATAAACACACAGGTCAAGTCAATAAAAAAAATGGAATTGAAAACAATGGACATTGGACAAACAGAAGAGAAGAAAAGATGATTGAATCGAATGAAATGGAATGGAATGAGATGAGAAGAAAGCCAGAATAAACATCCAATTATCGGTGTCGAGTCTTTCATTCATTCATTCATTCATTCATAGATTGTGATTGAATGTGATAAAAAATTTTCGCTCAAATTCAAGATTTGTTGTCGGTCAGACTTACGTGATCGGAATGATGATGATGGTGGTGGTGAATGAACAAAATGTCCAATTTTTTCTTCGGAGACTTGAAATTTGTGTTAAAACTCAACAAATAATTGGCAGATTTGAGCCATAATAAAGTATGCCTAAAACAAAGTCAAGTTCAAGACCTAGTGGTCATTGGTTTATATTTGGCCAAACAACTTGCGACTGTTTGATCGAAAAATTCATTTTTATTCATTTCATTAATCAATATAAGAGTTTTCGCTGTATTCATGTTTGAAATTTGGATCACTGTTATGTGTATATAGAAATGGGGAGAATGAAAACAAACAAACGAACGAACCGAAGGAACCAGAAATTTTGTTTTGTGTGTGTGTGTGTGTGTGTCGGTGTCATTGTAGTCGCTATTCAATGACATTTACCTGGACGTTAATCATTGATAATGATGATGATGATGATGATGATGATGTACAAGAGAAACAAAGTTTTGACAATCAAAGTAATTCAATAGGTGTGTATATAATGGGCATCAATTCAATAACGATGTCTCGTGTGTGTGTGTGTTTGTAAATCTCCTGGTTTGATCCGATAAAAAAGTGTGTGGATTGGAGTGGAGATTGTAGGATTCATCATTTCACAATCGTCGCCACGGCATGACTTATTTACACAGAACCACTAAACTAGTCCAATAAACTAGTCACTGGTGCATGGACTGGACAGATCGGATGACATGTTGCTAGGAGGCTGATGAATATCTTGTTCGGCTTTTGTGGTGGTTGAAAAGTGGAGAAAGAAATTCATTACCATTGTTTGCAGTGAACATTGGCTTACCTAAATAGGACATGGGTGTGCAAGGTCCATTGGCGCCATTACCGCCGCTACCATGACCGAGTGATGATAGACATGTATCGCTCGATGCATTCATGCCGCCATTCCCATCACTATATCCGTGCATCTATGTTTTTGAGAGGAAACAAAAATTTCATTCAAAACTCATTACCGGGGTCGAAATTGAATTTATTTCATCATAATGATCCATCATCGAACAAGATTAGGATGGAATATCGATTATGATTGTGACAATCGATGTTCATTGCAAAAGATCAATATATCAATACATCAATATATCAATATATCAATATACCACACTAGCGAGCACAGTAGTGGCAAAAAAGTTTCATCTGACTGCAAATGTGTCATGTCGAACAAGAACAAAACAAAGCAATGCAGATATGGCTTGCTTGCTGATATTGTTGGTGCAATATATACAGAGAAGGAGGGTCTCCTCTATAGTCTGAGAAAATGGAAAAAAACAAGAAAATCGTTTTCTCCTCAGTCTGTGCGTGTGTGTATTACTACTGGTTGAGTGTCTTATAGGTTCGGAAAAAGGTTTCCGTGGATATACCCACACGCATGCATTCTCGTAGTGATCGCGACCAGCAATGGCAACACACCTCATCCTTGATTTTGTCTTTTCCGTTTGATGTTGATGTTTAGTGAACTGAACATACCTGTGATACAAGATGTTGAAATTGTGCAGCATTCGGGTCAATATCGGGTTGCATTGATGCATAATCGGCCAACGCTTTCCACGGTGGTTGATAGCTATGTACATCAATCGGTGTCATCTGAACTGGACTTTCGTGTCGTACAGGTGATGTCGCTATCAATGGCACACCACGCATCTGTCCAATGTTGAGTTGTCGACCATCCTAGGGAGCAATAAACAGAAACAGAAACAAAAACAAATTGAGGCAATGTGCAAAACCCAAATACATGATACATATACATAATATACATAATTTAATTAATTTGATTGTTTTCCACATTCACTTTCGAATGACTTGACTCATGAATTCATGAATTCGTGCAGTGGGCCAAACTACAACACGTGACCATCATCATCATTCACAAACCACAAATAATGCTGATCATAACTTGGCAAAATTACCTTGAAAAAATGTTCGTCTTGGAAAATTTCCGAGAAACTTTCCGCGAAAATTGTGCCACATTCAGCAATTTGTCGATAATTTTTATCCATTTTATATCGAGTGGATCATGATAACACGTGCATCACACAACTCATCGGGCACGTGTGTGCATCCTATCCACCTTTTTCATGTTGTTCACGAATGTGCGTGTGTGTGTGTGTGTTTGTGTGTGTGTGTATGTTTGGATATAATCATATTATTCTGGAGTTTGTGCTTTTTTGAAAACAACCACCATTACTTTTTCACATGACAAACAATATGGCTGTGATTCATCACGCATGTCAAAACACACATGGCCAGAATTTTGAGAAAAAAAAAAGACAAAGCATTTTGAACCAAGAGAACCGAGAGAATAAAGAATAAAAACTTTGGAGGTATCAATTACTCACTGGAACACATTATCATCATCATCATTGTGTTCCGCTACTATGCTACGTGTGGCACGTGGCCATTGCTAACCAAAGAATTCATACACAGCAAAGGCACGTGTCTTGCTCATGAACAGAGAGAAACGGAAAACAAGAAAACACAAACACACCCATGTATGGAGAAAGAATATGATTCTGTTTGATAATCATATGCAACGGAGAAAACGAAAACAGGAAGCATGTCGGAATACATGACAAGTGTAATTTGAAATCATCACGATCAATGTCACAAACTGAAACTGGCCCAAAAGAAAAGGTAAATTTTCCATGATTACTCCAAATTATCGTCAACAAATAAATGGAGCAACTGCTGCTACTGCAAACATTGAGACACACACACACACACACACATACACATACCATCTGTCTATGTTTGTACAATGATGGCTAGTTTCTAAAATGAAATGGCAGAAAAAATCACCGTTTGAGATTTCGAGATAAGTGGCCCAACCGTAGATAAGACTAGAGCGAAATGGAAATGGAGAAACGTACATACATAACGGCCATAGATCTCAAGAGGCTTTTGCACTGGAACACTTTTGCTCACTGTCCCCTTGTTTCAAAAACAGACCCGGGGGAAGATGGATGTGAAGCAAAACATCTGCAATGCCTGTGTATCCATTAAAGATTTTTTCCGCTTTGCAAAATTCCATGATCCAAATCTTGAACAAATACTATTGGCCATATGTATCGATTTAGAGCAAAAGAATCGAGATTTTAATCTAGCTAATTGAGTCTGTTAAATCTGTGGCACACGTCATCATCATCATCATCGATATAAATCCCTTGATTCTCGATTCCATTCAATTGCTGCTGGATTGGCCATTTTGTACACAACAACTCTTGTGACACGCGCTCTGTTTGAATATGAACACGTTTGAGCCATCTAAAATTTTTGAGACGATTAACCGGATTATGGAAGAGGATTTATAAGTGATGAGTGTGGGAAGAATGAAAAATTTCATTTGGTAATGACATTATTATTTAATGATGATGATGATGATGATGAGATGATTTGCAATTGTCACCTTGAAAACATCATCGAGTCTACTGTTTGAGTTTGACTTTTGATTTTGATTTTTTGTTTTCATTTTTCGTCCTCATCTGAATGAAAATGAATCAAAAAAGTCACAAGAGAATTGATACATTGTGTGTATGAGTGTGTATGAGCGTACGGACACAGAACTTTCAATGGAAGCGAATCAATGCCTTTCTCCCGGGAGTAATTAGCTCATGACGATGAAGAAGGAATTCCAAATAACTTTTTTCATCCATCCGGATGTTTTACTGAAACTGGAAAAAAGTTTCTCAAACACACAGAGACAAAGTTTTTTGTGTTTTTGTGTGTGTTTGTTTGTTTCTGGTGCACAGATCAGATCAAGGAACAAATGACAAAATCCATTAATCGGCGAAAAGTTTTACAATTTTACAGTTTTGCACTACTGCCACTAGCAGGTAATTCCAGTTAGTCCAGAACGACAACAAAAGATTCAATTTTGCGGCAAAGACAAACATTTTTCTTGTTTCTTTGTTGATGATGAATGCTAGGAAAGTGGTGATGGACAAACAACAACAACAACAACAACAAGCTTAATCAGCCAAGTGTAAAACAAACACAGACCGATCAAATGGACATTTTCTTTTTCTTTTCGATTCTTTCTCACGCCGCCGCCCCTCTCTTAAGGATGTTTTTTTCTGTCTCAGTAAGTTGAAAGCTTTTATTTCTGGTCTGTCGAATTTTCATTAAGAAAAGAGAGAGAGAGAGAGAGAATGGAAACAAAAATGCCGATATCCATTAAGGGAGAAATTGTTTTCACCTGGACAAGCACGTGCTTTTAAGGTCGAAATAGAGTAGTGGGTGTCGAACAATCGATAATCGATTAGTGAATCAATGGTCGGCCGGTCCTTATGGTCTGGCGGTTAATGAGAAAAAGGTGTTGTTGTTGTTGTTGTTGTTGTTGTTTGAAAGCGGCGTTTTTCATGTTGTTTTGTTTCATAATATGTGACATGCGATATATGTCGCATTGGGCAATTTGTCGGTTTGGTTTGTTTGTGTGACATATTGTGAGACGGAGAATGGATGTGCATTATGTAAAGTGATGTGATGTGATTTGATAATCGATGGCTGACTGAATGGATAGTTTTAATGGATTCATCATAACAATGAATTGATCATTTGTGAAATAAATCTAGTCTGCTCTAGTCAATTTAGTTGGTGCATTTAACAACAACAACAACAACAACAACGAATACAATATAGATCCATTAAGATGAATAATGCACACATTCAGATCTAATCGATCAGAGAGATCAAGTTCCTGTTGTTGTTGTCGTTGTTGGAAATGGAACCAATCTAGTCAGATTGCAACTCAAAGTCATTAACAACAAGAATTGTTCACAGAGACCCCAGGATACAGGTGTCAGAACAAAGGCGATGACCGATCACAAAGGTGAAACCTAGGCTAATTTCCACCCATTAAGATTCCGAAAAGGTCACAAAGGTTAATGGAGTGCGAGAAAAGAAAATGGCTGGTTGATATGTCCATTAACCTTTTGGATTTTGAAAATGGGAATAATTCACAATTGAGTCTATTCATTAATTGATTCATCAATTCAATTAGGGACCCTGAGGGTCCTAGTTTTATGTTTTGATTTGATTCGATGATTGTTTCGCGTTTCATGTAGTTTCATGCATTCAGACACAATGATTGGCATCCATTTAGGCACTAATGCTCGATCGATGGCTTCACACACACACACATAATTGATCGATCGAGATCGAGATCGAGTATGAACAACATGGTCATATAGAGTCGGTTATGCAGGCATTAGATTTGATGCTTGAAATGGATTTTTGTCTGATCAGTAGACTCGGCATTCTTTTGTTGTTGGACAACATTTATCATTTTCTCACATTCAGATTCGTCTGGCGCGTCTAAATTGAATTAATCAATTAATTAGCCACAATCTAGCATTGCAATCAGTAGTAGGTTTGTCGGTCTTTTTCTGAAGAATCTAATCACTGGTCACATCGTTGAACCTTGGATTGATTAAAATTAATCAAACCAAGAAGAGAAAGTGTCAACTATTGATTGATAAAAGATTGGCCAAGTTTAATGAATGAAATGAGCAGCAGGTGTTGAACAGTCAAATAGTATGCTAATTGAGTTGATCGCCTACCTTTTCCTGTTGTTGCATCTGTTTCATTAGGATGCTGCGTTTTTTGTCTTTACATCGTTTATTTTGAAACCTGAAATCGAACAAACGAAACAAGACAAACGAAAGATTGGTCAACACAGAGCAATTACATGGCTGTGTATAATACTCGGGCACTTACCATACACGTATGACCCGTGGAGAAAGGCCAGTCATCTCGACCAATTGCTCCTTCATCAATGCATCCGGACGTGGATTGGCATTATAACATGAACGTAGTGTGTGCAGTTGCTTTTCGTTGAGAACAGTACGAACACGTGTTGGTTTGTGATCAGGATTCTTATTCGAATTATGGTGATGTGACATTGATGATGATCGATGCGATGATGAGGATCGATGATGGTGATGATGATGATGATGATGTTGACCACTTGAATTTGTCGATGAAGAATTTGTTGATGATGAGTTGTTGTTGTTGTTGTTGTTATTGTTTGAGTTTGATTGATTTACACTATTCAATTGGTTCGATGGCTGTAGAGGTGGTGGTGGTGGTGGTGGCGGCTGCGGTATCACTGATGATGACGGCGGTGTCATTGATCCTGACGATATAGACAGCGATGTTGTCAGCGGTGGATCCATGTGAAGAGCTATGAGAATTGAAATGGAAAGAAAAAGGACGTTTTTCAGTTTTCAAGTGATAATTGGTGAAAAGTGGCCACTTGATTGAAAATTTGTTTTTCTCCTGAAGCGAAAAAACCTGGGAAAATCAAACAAAAACTTACCACCGGATAACGAGGATAAATGTGTAGGTGCACCGGCACCACCGCTTGGCGATATATTGCTACTATTCATGTGGCCGTTTAGATCACCACCCGGTCCGGGTATTATACCGGCCGGATGTAAAGGCATCGACGGTTGTTGTTGATGATGCACCGGATTATTAATTGACGGTGATCCTGGAGCACCAAGACCCAACAATTGGCTAGCAGCACTGACATTATTCTCTTTCAAACATTCCGGTGTCACAGGTGTTAAAGGCGTTAATGATGATGATGTTGACGATGACGACGATGATGATGAGGAAGAGGAGGACGATGAGGATGAAGATGATGATGACAATGAGTGATTCGATGCGGACAAACCATGTTGCTGTTGTTGAGGTGGTGGCGGTGGTGCTGGTGGTGGTTGATGATGCAGATTAGGATGTAATGAAGGTGGTTGGCGATGATGTAGCAGTTGCGGCGGACCGATAAAGTGGCCATGTGGATGGAGATGATGCGATAACGGTGGATGATGGCCACCCAAAATGGTCACAACGTCGTTGGCTCCGTTGAAGCCAAGTCCAGCAGCTTCGTGATCGGCCTGTTTACAAAATGGAAATGTTTGCCAAATGGATTTGGTTTGCCAAACGGTGCATACATACTTTGCAGAAAAGGTCGTCGAATTTCAGGACAAATTCGTCGCCACGTGTCAATTGTCGTGCACAAACAGCGCAGCGAAAACATTCGACATGATAGATTTTATTACGAGCACGCATCACCAGATCCGTCTTGCTGAAACACAGTGAACATTTGGCGCATTTGGCGCCAAACAACTAAACAAAACAAAACAAAACAAAACAAAACAAAACATGTAAAAAACATAATGTTTTACAGATTCGTAATGAAAAATGAAAAATCTGCAGATCTGGGTGTTGAGAAAAGCCAGAGAAAGGCTATAAATCTCGTGTTTGATGATAAAAAACAGATCCACTGAAAATTTATTGTGTTTATCATCCACAGTTGAGACTGGTAGACTGATTGACATTGGCTATTCCGGCATAACGATTGAATCAGATTGCCAAGACACTCACTATCAGATTGCCGACGTCGCCATCATTATATGCCGATTTCGACACCGATAAGCAAGGTCATGTGTATATGGTGTGTGTGTGTGTTTGTTTGATCTATTCCGAACAGATCACCATTTCAAATTCAAAAGTCAACATATTGAAACTTTTGAAAAAATCCACACTCTTCAGAATACCTGGAGATTTGGAACGCATACACACTCGACAAAGCAAAGATTGTCATCAGGCAGTCATTGCGATTACATCATCAAGTGTATGGGTAAACAAAATTGAAAAAGTGATCTGAACAACAGCGAAACCAAAAATGGAAGCACCACCACCACGAAAACGAAAAACAAAGCCATAAAAAAAACCAAAGCCAAGTATTGAGTAAATAAAGCCAATAATGAATGCGTTTTAAACGACTTTGTTTTGGCGAAAAACACAACAACAAAACATCAATTCCATATGGCATGATGATGATGATGATGATGATGATGATGATGTTTTTGCCAATCGTCGAAACCGTTGAAACCCTAGGCTATCTGTGTTAAAATTTCTTCAGTCAAGACGACGACACTCGTATCGAAATGAACAATCTCCACACATACGAGTTTGGAGAGAAATTGTCTCGTCATTGTCAGTGATAGTGTTATCATGTGTCTCATTATCGATGAAAAGGTTGTCCAATGTATTCGTGTTTCGCTTACCTGAGATAATCTCGTTTACAGTACGTTTTGCCATCACGCACAAAACAAGTACACGATTCATCCAGATATTGTTGACAATCGGCACATTTCAGACAGCTTGCATGCCACTCAAGATCGGGTGATACCCGCAAGATGTACTGGTCGTAGATTTCCGAACCACAACCGACGCACAACGAGATTCGTTCAGCCGCTGATGGCCATTTACCTATCATTGTTGTGTTCAATTAGTGGTGATTTGTGGTCAGTGTGTATGTGTGTGTCGATGATGAGATTTGATTTTGTCGTCGTTATCGATGCCCGCCAGTGGCAGAGATTTGGTTCGATGGCATTTAATCAGTGAATGAATGAATGAGCGAATGGAGGGAAAAACAAACAAGTGGATATTCGACAATTTGATCGGATGAATTTATTCTATTGGGGCTTACGTGGTGATAATTGTGTAGATGTCGTCGATGAACAGGACGTAGATGTTGTCAAAGTCGTTGATGTTGACAAAGTGGAGGATGAAGAGGATGGTTCCGTTTTGATGGGCATCGATGAAGCAACCGCCATCGGATCAGTGATTTGAGGTGAAAAAATTTTTAATTGAATTGGTTGAAATCATCAACAATTCAACACACCACCATAATGACCCACAAAAGACACAAACTAGAGCACATTGACACACACACACACACACACACGATTTGCAAGTCGAAAAAATGAAATTTTCACTTGGTCTCAGAATTTTCGTTTTCAGGTTCACTTTGTGATTCGTTCAGGTCGACTCTGTGAAATTCAATTTCGAGTGAGTGTGTGTTATGCCAAAATGTGGACAACGTCGAATTGCTCTTTCGCCACTCAAACATGCGTGTTTTGTTCAAAACATGCTACTGCTTTTCTATTTGAAAAAGTGCCAAAAAGATTCAAATCCCGCCTACAAACGAATCGCTGGACCAATCGACATGACGAGCGACGATGGTGCTTGTCTGTAATTGGTTACTGTTGCTGTTTTAGTGACAACCCACTTGATACTCAAAGACATTCATTCGCACACACAGATCTGATCTGATGCTACACTCTAATGTAGCCATATGATCATCACCATCTGTCTGTCTTGTGATGGGAGCAGTAGCTACGTTATTTCTCAATGACGACGAAGAAGACGACAACAACAACAACAACAACAACAACAACAAACAATTCATTGCACCCAACAATTTCATCCAGCAGCAAAAAGACCTGGCGTTGAACCAGAATCCTGCTTTGTACTTGATACACTTGATTCGACATGGTCATTCTGTGGGATGACAATCATTGGATTCTGGTTGTCAGTCAACCTGTTCATAAACGGCCGGTTTTGTATCCGAAATTAATTCATCGTGTGTAATTCAATTAAATCAGTGATGTACGCGGTTCACTGAGTCAATGACAGAACTGGTGGTCCTGATGGAACAGATGACATGTCGATATGTTCGGGGAGAATATAAAAAAAAACAGAAAGCAGAAAAGAGAAATTTGCTCAATTGAACACGATCAATGGTGCGGATGTTGATGGTTTATTCGAGACATTTGGTCGAATATTTGGAAAATCAAATCCAGTCAACAACAAGTCAACGGTCAAGTGTGTTTGTCCAAGAATGATTGAGATATTGGTCATCATCATTGTTCAGGTATGGAACTATGCAACGAAATGTTGACTCAAATGTTGTCGAGTTGTGCACAGTCAAAACAGAACAAGACAAGATAACAAGATAACAATAGTCGAATGATTGAAAAGGTGATGATGATGATGATGATGAAGGAATTTCACTGACAACAGACAACAAAACAGCACGAGACTTGAATCCATTGGAAAAAAATATTTCCATTGTTCGCGTATTTACCTCGATCATCTATGGATTGAATAATAATGACCTATTGAGATTGAGATTTTTGAATAAAAAAAAATGTCCAGATCAAATGATAAAGACTACCTGCTGTATTTGTGTGTGTGAATGCAGAAATGTTCGAGGGACAAGATAATCCCTGGTAAGTAGCCAGCTAGACAGTCAATATGGCAATTGAATTGTCAACCAGACGCATTTTGGATCGTTATCAGTGGCATAATCTCACTATTGGTATTGCATAAAGTTATTGAATACAAAGAAAATTTCCAACCAAGGACAAATGATTCGCTAACCCTTGGTATGTATGTAGGCGATTCGACATATGGATGTTGCTTGCTGACATGACTTTTTTTCGCGACTTTATGGCTTTTTTACAGCAAATAAAACAATGAATGAATCAAATCACTAGCATTACTATCGAATCGAACATTGGCAAGTGAACCATGAATTCATTGTTCGATTCTGGATGATGGACCAACCAGTGGGGACAATAATCATCAAAGTGTCAAGTGAACAACATAATACATGCCGTGCCGTAAAAAAGGTGACGTTCAGTGTTCAGTGTTCAGCGTTCAGTGTTCAGTGTTCGATGGTTCTATTGTCGACGAATATTCTATTTATGATTTGAGTCATGTTCGGAACCATTGGACCAGAACCCGAAACAAGGACAGAGTGGAAAAGTTGCACGTGTAAAATTTTCAGTTTTATTGATGTTTGTACGAGTATTGGCATATAATGAGCAATGACGGTTCATTCATGTTGTTGTTGTTGTTTGTTGTTTGAAACGACAACTTCATCATTGAACCTGAATGAGTTCGGAATGGATGTAAATATTCGAATGAAACCATTTCAAATGATTAGGGTGATGCACTATACTGTACATCAAGTGACAGTACAGTGTGTCATTGTTTGGGTTGAAAATGGAGCAAAATGAAATGAAATAAATGATACTTGTCAACGGGGTTCGTGTGTGTGTGTGTGTGTGTACAAGTGTAATACCCCATTAGAATACAATTGAACTATCAAAACCGTGCTACGTTCATGATATCCGTATCTCGTTATAATCAAATTATCAAACCATTTAGAATGGAGCTACAAACACTATTATGGTTATCATTTTCATTTCGTTAATGATGATTATCATTCGAATCGATTATTGGATTCAAGTAAGAACCATTTCAAGCAAATCAAGCCATGTTCTTAGAAATTCGCCATCATTACCACCGGAATGGTTGAATTGCTAAATGGATTCTTTCCATTAACCAAGTGAAAATGATCCAGCAACCTAATGGAATGGTTATCAACCGAGTGAAAATGCAAGCCCATTATCACCGAAACGATGGCCCTTGAATCAGGTCGACCTGGTATTGAGTTACCCATACACACACACACAATCAACGGGAATGATTTGAATGAATTGATTTATGGAGCCAAAAACAAAATATGTAACTCTTTCGAGTTGCCTTTTATTCAAAAGTGGTCCTTTCAAATCATGGTCCAGTCACTACTCACAAGTCAAGTCAATCAATTGTTTAACGAACGGACGAGTGAATGAAGAGTGTTGTGAATGTTCAAACAATTTTTTCAAATTGATTGAAAATGAATGAATGGATGGATGAAATGATGAGAAAGAAGCAGAACAAAACAAAAACAAAAATACTAGACGTTTGCATTGTGTCAAGTCAACAAAACATCAAGTTGTCAAATTGTAGAAAAATGTTTGCTACTCAATTGTTCTACTGGCTAACCCTTTGCTAGATTCAAACAACAAGACGATGATGACCATCCACAACATCATCAATCGAGACAAATTACAAGTTGGGTTTCAGTGTTGTTGCATGAATGAATGAATGAATGACAAACAATGGTCAATTTGACAGCTTTGTTCATCAGAAACTGGACTTGTCATACACACGAACATCCGGATGGTCAAATTGATATCAGAAATTTATTTTTATTCATTCATTATAATCCAATGATATTGGCCAACATTGGAACCTTGAGCCAACAGACTAGTGGCGTAGTACCGGCCATGTACGGTGCTTGTTTATGGTAGAATAGTATGCCATCAATCTGTGGAATTGAAAGAAAAAGACAGTTTGGGTTGCAATTCAATTTCAAACCAGTAGTACTACTAACCTCGGTTTCGAATGGATATGGGCCATGTTGGCCATATTTACATATGTTATCTATTGTGCATGGCCAATATGGCAATGTCTCAATGTGGATTCTTGAATGATCCACGTAGGATTGATCGGTTACCATTTGTTCATCGTTGTCATTGTGATTAACGTTGATATGATTATGGATCCAGAAGAAACGAAATTCCGTATCACAGCCGTAGAATGAACAACCATTCCACTTGAATACGTCCAATATGTAGAAGCGACGTTCCGCTTCCACCCATATGCAATCGAGCATTGAATTTTTCGTTGCCGCCGATCGAATCTGACGATGAGATTCAAACTTGGAATCAACATTGTGACCGCTGCTGCCGCCTGGTAGGCTCGATTGAAACTTGAATAAAAAATGACCATTTCGGGTATATGCCCGGGTATGGCCCCCGTCAGCAATCAACAAGGTTCGTCGGCCTTTGGGGCAACAGACAAAGAACCAGCAATCGAAAAAATCTTCCGGCACATCCACCAGCCATTCGGATAGCATGAAACAGTCGGAAATTGCTTTTCGATAATTTTGGATCCACTTTCGTCCATTTTTCCGTTTTTTATTGTGCATCGTAATGGTGGAACATTCAGTTTCCATGGACGCAGTTGACGATGACTCGACAACGGCTTCATTATCATCATCGTCATCATCGACGGTGGACATTGTTTCGATCGGATCATCTTCGATGAGACGTCGCATTTTTTCGATGATGGATTCACGTTTCCTTTGGAAAAGAATATAAAGTAATCACCACACATCGTTATCATCATTATCATTATTGTTATTATTATTACCAAGACAATCACTAGGTCTTACCTTTGAACATGGGCCAAAAATTCCATGCGGCGTTTGTGTTGAACATTTTTGACCACATCAAATTCTTCGGAATTTGTGTGCAGAAACTTGGGATGAATTCGATTCGATGTGCTGGTCATCGATGATTGATTGACGCTCAAATCGGCATCAAATTTAGTGATGAGCTCAATTTCTGACATTTTTGGTTTCTGATTTGAATTGAATTGAATTGAATTGAAATGAAATGAAATGAATGAATGTGATGAGATGTGATGAAATGTCAAACAAGGTTTTGCATACATGCATCCAATAATCGTCAAAACTATCGATACTATTGATTCGGATTCGTTCATCATTTGATTTTATTGGATTTATTTAAAAAAAATTGCCAAATACAATCATATATATATATACGAGATCAATTTGAAATATACAATAGACAATGAATCGATACATTATTCAATGATTGTAGTGGATGTTGCCAATGTCGATGATGTGACGGGCAGATAGAGTTTGAATTCGGCTGGCAATTCATCTTCGGCATACATGCGATCGGCAAAGTAAACGCGTCGTAATCGGCAATTGGCGTTGATTGTGACGCGTACCGTCTCCATGTAATTGCTGCCATATGCTCGGCGACAGAAATCATTCAGGTTGAACGCAATCTGGTTCCAGCCATCATCCAGCCGCAATGGCATGGAACAGATGAAATGTTTCACTCTAGTGACTGACTGAAAATTGGACGCTCGAAAACGGCGTCGAACATTTTTATCGTCCAGGATTTCCACTTCAAAACTAAAGAAGCGTTTCAGATTCTTCACGATCAATATGAGGAACGGCAGTTTGATGCCCAAACTGGATCTCGGTTGTGGTGGCGGACAGGTGACGTATGTTGTGGCCACGTTCGAACCGGTGATTTCGATGACCAGCGACTGAATATCGTTATCGGTGATGCGTTTAATGCTGCCGTTTTTGACTTTTTTCTCCCAAATTTGCAGCGGATTCGATCCAATCGAATATAGTATGGACAGAAAACCACTTTGAAACGTATTCTTGAACATTGTCCTGGTAGCAAATTCAATCAATTGATTGATGATGATCAAGACGCGCGGTTGCCACAGAAACCAAAACAATAACACACAGGGAAACTTGCCGAAAGCAAATGAAATTCAAAGAAAATGTTTCCAGAAAAAAATTAAATGTGACAAGTTAATTATTCAAAATTGCAACACAACAAATTAAAATTCAAATAAATCCCTATTCTAATAACAAGTGATGACAAAACTTTCCTACAGGGCATTTAAAACAGATAATAATAATAATAATAAAATGACACGAAAACAACAACGATAAAATCCTAAGCCATTTGGCCATTCATGGCATGATGATGATCATCATCGGCCGATGATGAAGCATCAAGAAAGTCGATTATAGTCTGGTGAACATTTTCCGGCGAACAGAGATGAACGTGGTGACCACCCGGTATGGTGACGAAATCAAATTTGGGACATTTCTCCCGATACAATCGAATGTATCGATCGGATATTTCATCCGGATCGAGACGGACACCATTCTGCGCTTTCACAATCAGCAATTGACACTTTAGTTGTTCAAAGTAATGTGCCAATGAATCATTGTCCAGACGTTGGAACAGGATCGCTTTCAAACGATTATCGCGTGTGAAATAGACTTTTGCCGGATCGATAGTCGATGGTTTTGCCCCACGTTTCAACAGGATTTGTGCCCCTTCAACGGTTATCTTGCCAAACACTGAGTGAGCCGATATCAGTTTGGTGATTGCTGCTTGGTGATCATACAACGGTGGTGTTGTCGTTGAATTCGGTGTTTCGTTGGTCGGTGTTGTTATTGTTGTTTGATTATTGACACCGTTGGTCGTTGAAATTTTCGATTCCAACAAGAGAAACTGCTCGATGCCTTCACGTGTTTTCATGGCCAATTTGTTGGCCGGGAACGTTAACGGTTTAATCATATCCAGTGATATTATTCGTCGCACGGATGATGGATACAGACAAGCGTAGAACATTGCGATTGCAGCACCCATTGAATGGCCCAGTATTGTGAATGCGCAATCTTTCCATCCAAGAAATTGGACGATACGTTCCAATTCAATGACAAACATGGTGTCGTTGTATGGACAACCGGCTGGAAGATGTGAACTGAGACCGTGACCAGGAAAGTCGATTGCAACGATATAAAGATTGATTGGCAACAATGGTATCAGGCGATCGAATGTGCCACAATTGTCTTGCCATCCGTGCAATGCTGCAATTGTTGAATCAATTAGTAGTAATAAATGATAAATGAATGAATAAGTTATACAAGTACCCAACACACGGACAGTATCCTTGTGGATTGCTGGTTCATCCTGGTGATTGTGGTGCCATATCTTTCCACGAATCGAACCATATGGTACGGACATTTCAAAATCTGAACAATGTTCCAGTCGAGTCATTTCGATGTTCTGAATAAAGAGATAAAGAGAGAGAGAGAGAGGATTTAGTGTTTGTAATTTAAAAATGCTTACCTTTGGTGATTAGTTGATTGAATGTTGAACAGAACCTAACCTAATCAGTTAATAACTGGTTTTTATTACTGTGCACACATTATGAATGAAACAATTTCTCTTATCAAAATTCAATCAAGGAAATGTTATATACACATACACCAAAGACGTCAATGAATTTCTCGTATGTTGATCAAATCATGAGTTGTACACAATGGTCAGTGAGGAAAGTGAAAACAACGACAAACAAAAATGAATGAATTGCTCACAATCGATCGAAAGTGGTGAGTCATATGTGTGTGTCCAGTGAGTTATTTTTGCTTTCAACACGTTAGAGTCGTTCATAGAAGCTGTTTTTGGGGAGACAAACACGATTCACGAGGATAACTTGACAAAACATCATAAATCATGATCATGATGATGATGACAATGGTGTTTGGCCATCGCATTGACATTCGCGGATGGTAAATAAACCAAACGGATAAACGGACCAACAATTTTACGACACTTTCCATGACATTGTCATGTCATATGACCGTCATGAATCGATGATTGCAATCGGATGGCGTCTGTTGTTTGTTTGATGTTTATGATGATGGACCTTCGAGATACCTTGGCCCAGTTTCTCATCACGATGTTGCTGTTGCAGTAGTTGGTTGTTTATCGCCAATTTGTGCATGTTTTGTTGTTGTTTTTGTATATAAATATTGGCATCAAAAATGATCCAATCTGTAGAATTGTCTGTTGTTAATTGTTGTGTCAGTCAACATGAATTCCATTATTGTCGTTGTTTTCGGTTGTTATTTTGTTGTTGGTGGTTCTGTGGCCAATCCGTTGGGCGAAACGATCAGTGATCGTACGGTGAATGGAACGGACAAAAGTTTCATCACCATTATCGATCACATCCTCAATCTGGGTTCCATTCCGAAATGTGCCACCGGACAAGGTCAGCCTGGTCATTGTACGATTGGTAAATGCACAAATCTGGGAAATTATTCGGCGGTCGGTTGTGCTGGTCGTAATCGTTTCATTAAATGTTGTCCGAATGAGGTGGCTTTTGAACGTTATCCATTGGATAAAGAAGGTTTGTTGTTAACTTGTTGGTAGTCAATGTGTGAAAGCGAATTGATTGATTCATTTCATTTGTGTGTGTGTGTGTAGAATGCGGCATTCGACCAGCTCGACCGGATGGATTGATTGTGGGCGGTAAAGAGGCTACGCCTCATTCGTGGCCGTGGGCAGTTGCTTTGTATCGTGTTCGCGATCAACGTCGATTCTTTCAATGTGGTGCCACCATAATCAGCGAACGTTACATTCTAACCGCTGCACACTGTGTGTATCGATCAGCCGAAGCGACCGATCCAAGTGAATACGTCGTCAAGGTTGGAGCACATGACCTTTTTGGATCGGGTGAATTCATGCAACTAGACACAATAATAGTACACGAAAACTATACACCACAATACCATAATGATGATATCGCATTGCTTCGGCTGAAACGGCCATTGGATTTCGTGAGCAATGATCGTATAGGACCGGTATGTTTGCCTGAACGCGGATCACGAATGGGACGCAAGATTGGCACGATGGCCACAATGGTCGGCTGGGGTGTGCACGATCAGATGGATTTCACGCCGTCCAATACTTTGTATCAGGTGAAGGTGCCGATATCAAGTCTAGAAAAGTGTCGTGATACATACAACCGACTGCTCAACATGAATTATTATTTCGACTGGAACAATGTCATCTGTGCTTCCGAGGTGAACGGCGGTCAGGACACATGTCAAGGTGATTCGGGTGGTCCGATGCTCATATCGAAATCGAACGGTCGATACTACCAGACTGGGGTCGTTTCATTTGGCTATGGTTGTGCCGAAAAGGGCTATCCCGGTGTCTACACGTATGTGCCCAATTATCTGGCGTGGATCGGAGCTCACATGAATTGATTGGTTTGTGGTTGAGTATTTTTATTTGATCTCAAATTGGCAAATCAAGTTCAAGTCTTGTTTTTTATTAAAACTTATAAAACTTGTGATGATTGTGTATCACGATGGGGATTTCATTCTGTGTCAATGGTGAATGGAAAATGAATCATTACTGTGTTGAATTTGGTGATTGATTATATACTTGCTTTGGTTGTCATGATTCCATTTGATCTTTTCGATGCTGTTCCAATCAAGTTCAGTCGTTTGAAAAAGTGAACGTTCAAAGTTGGAAATTTGAAGTCAACA